GAGTTCGATTTCCCGCGCGTCGGCCATCGCGGAATCCGTCGATCGTTCAAGTAATTCGATCCCACGTGTCACGCGTTTCATTTATAATCGCGTCGGAACGTCTATTACCGGGGAGTTTGTGTATCGCGTTGAATCGGCGAGGAGCGTGCGCGCTCGGAGTCGCTTTCGAAGGCAGTTTCGACGAAGGGGATGAAACGGGTTAGCGAAAAGGGGTGGAACAGGAGGAGGAATAGGAGCAGCGATCGCGCGGAGAGAGGGGTGTGGGTGGTGTGGCAATCAGAGGGGGTGGGTGTATATCGTTGTCGCTACCGGAGCCGGCAATGCGAGTCTAGGTTATCCGGTGACAAAGCTGGTTCGGTTCGTGCAACGGAGGCCCTCGATACGTCGGATTATCACCATTGAAAATGGTGCAACTGAAACCCTACTGTTCGGATGCAGCGGCGCTTGAACGCGATACGCGACCGAGCTTTGCATCGAAAACCGGAAGCGAATTCCTTGTCTGTCGCGCGTTTATTGCCGATCACAAAAGTCCGACCGGTGTTGTTTTTCCTCCGTTATCGAAATTTCGCTCTCTGATCGATGTCTTTGGTGTACGATTACCGATGTCCGCTTTCGATCTATCATATTTTACGGCGGGGGGTGAAATCGGCTCCGTTATCAGTCAACAACTACAGCCTCGTTCATAAAAACAGCTACGAAACGCCATAGCAAGAAATGAGTACAAGAAAATTATTCAAACTTCATTCCTTTAACCCCTTCCCGTGCCATTTATTTAACAGATGCGTCAGTCAAGACTAACTCAGGCTTATAACATTAAAACGAACAAAGAAGATTAAAATGTAACTATTTTATATTCAGATATCCTTGATAATGTAACTAATAACTGGACATAAATTTCAAGTTGAAGAGTATTCAAAATTTTAGTAAGGTTTGTCACATTCGAGCTGTAAGTGCGTCACGAGTGAAAGTCGTCAAAGTACGGAAAGGGGTTAAAGGTACAGATTATTCTTTCACTATCCTTGAGAATTAACATTGTATACATTGACGTAATTAGTGAGGTTAAGTCATTCTCCCTATTTAGTCCAATGATAGAAAATATCGTGGATGTAAGAGGGTGTTGTGAAGCAACCTGTAGTATGATTTTTGTTAGAGGACCTTAGAACAGATAGCAGCGACGATTCGTAGGATTCTTCCAGGGCATTAAAGTCGGATGGTTAGCGAACGAGGTAAGGCGAACCACCCTCCGGGGGGTTGTAGCTAAATTGGCGGCAGTATATTACCGGTCAGACTCCCGCATTTAATTTGAATATAATCGTGGAAGGAGATCTCAGGAGCTCGAGGGCACTTCGCGACGCAGAACTGCGTGACGGTGACCGGAAGTGGTCCCGGGACACCGGAAACAAAATGGCCGCTCCCTTCTACGCGAATCTCGCCTCTTTCCACTCTGCACGACCTTCCTATCCGCCTACCCACTCTTTCACCCTCCTTGAAGAGCGTGAATTCGTAACGCGAGAGTTAACTTTGCATCGTGCAGATTTGCCGACGTCCTGCGAAACATCGAAACGCACGCACGGCGAGGGGTAGTGGCGGATATAGTCATAACCCGTTGAGATCGTTGATCGTGTTCTCGCCGGGCGTGGAAAGATTATCCGGAAACGTTTCTATCGATGATGGACGTCGTTGCCTTCTCCGTGGCCGTGAAAGTTTAATGATTTTCGAGTAATTACCGGGCTCGGCGATGACTCGCGTGGGAATGCAACAGAGCAGCGTGTTCGATAAGCGCCACGGGGAACAATAACAATTAAACCGGGCTAACTCGTAATGCCTAAGTACAATATAAGCACGAACAATGGACTATGCTCGGGCGAGGGAGAAATCCACACCAGCTCGACAATAACTTCTGCCGCTTTCATAGATAGATGACAGGCTTTAAGTTTCGACGACTGGCTGGTAAGTCGAAGAGCCTCGAGTGTCTTCTGTCTGAGACCTTTAGACAGCCGTAATTGCCACTCGTCCGTTCATCATGGGACGTTTTGTAAGGGAAAGCTCGCAGTAAGAAAATGTGTAATTGACTCTCGAATAACATAGCTTTTCTAGAATCTATTCGGAAAGATACGCTCTCATATCGTGTAATCGTTTATTTCAATTTTTCCGTACGCACAGATCCATTGTACCACCCCTCGTTACGCCATAAATAATGAACACAGTCTATTCATGACTCCGCCACTCGTAAATCATTGAATAAAAATCTCGGCTCGATGGGTTTTATCGACACGGTGCCCTCGATGGAACATACCTGTTAATTGATAAACAGAGTACCCTTGTCCGGGGCGTAGATCTCGATTAGAGAGATCGCGTAAGTGAAAGAGAGCGATCGGGGAGAAGAGAAACGAGAGCAGAAGAGAAGGAAAACTACCCTTACGAGTTTACGATGTACGACTCGGCTTAGGAGTGTATGATTAAACAACTCAGGTGTTTTATGCTCGACTCGTGGAGATCGCGTGACCCAACGGCCACATCCGTTTCCGCTTTACCTACGGTCAACCGCTTCGACCCCTAACCAATGGTTCGCCTTAAGGGTTGCACGTTACCTTCGACCACGAAAGAAAGTATACTTTCGACGTATCTTTAAGCAGTAATCGGCTTCGCTCGATAGTCAGGGATCATGCCTTAGTTGCTAACCTTTGCTCCATGTCCACTCCTTTATTCTTATTCGCGATACGGCTACACGTAAAAAATTCTATTCTTAATGGCGAATTATATTTTAAACTCGACAAGAACATGACCAGCCTGATTAATCCGACAATCGTCTCTGTTCCTTCAAACAATGCACGACATTCTGATATCGGTCAAAATAGAACTTAGAACGGAAGCAGTCGAAAGGTCAGAGAAATGCCATACTCTGACATTACGGGAAATACCACCCCTCTGAAAGAGGACCCGTAACCCTCCATATGTTCTCGACGCAATTTTCGATCCCAAAATAATCCCAGAGAATATTTGCAGATCGCGTAATTTCAGTAGTTAGGGAATTTGTGAAATTCCATTCAAACAACGTAATTAATTGGCTATTCCTGCTTTAAAAATATTATAGATCAACATTTAAGAATTTCCGTCGTTAATTTTAACTTTCCCCTAATAAATGATCTAAATGACCTCTGATCTTTGGATCAGAGATTATTTTTGAACAATCAAGTGCACCTTGTAAGAAAAGTTTATTCGCCTTACGATCGATACGCTCTCGTTAACGCTCGCCAATTGAATATCGTTGGAATAATAATTCCGACAGAGGAATTAATTAATTTGCTAATTTCGAATTATCGGTACGCGGTTACGAGAGAGCGTTCCGGATATCTGGCCTGCACCCGGCAGGGATTCGTTAGTTTTCCAGGAAATTAGTCAGCATGATTTGCATCTGACGTACACCTCCAGGCACCTACACGTCGCTCGCATAGTTCGCAACTCTGACTTTCCGCTCGGATCTCCTCTCCTGCTAGATGTCTCAACGGCCCTCCATACAGCCCGCGTGTCAGTTAATGCCCGTCACGAAATTTCACCGACCACTCTTCGTTATCGGTATTATTAATGCATTTTTCGCGGACTTCACCGGGTGTACCGTCAATCGGGTGGACAGCTGTGTGCGATTTAGTCAAATTATTTTTAATCCTCAATTGCAAGACTATAAAATTTTATAAACACAGATAATGTTACTATACAGAAAATGTGGACATACAGAAAATTCTTGCATAATATATTGTAACGTTTATTATATGAACTTTGTTGAAAATTTATCTATTTATCTATTATGGCTAAGAACATAGTCCAAGTTAACTACTACACCGGTCAAATGTCCGCTCCACAAGTTTTTTGTTATAAGCTACACATTTTCTTAAAGTACATTTCTTGAAATCAGAATTTTATCAAGATAAAAAATAAATGTGTCTACTAATTTATGTTTCGTTTGCTTATTTATCTTTTAACTTCATTTTTAATTTCAAATTAAGTACACATTACGTGCTGGTAGGTTTAGTGTTAAAGTTTGTGTGTTCTGAAAATTACATTGAATAATGTAATTGCGTGCTTATGAATAATTCTTGAAATATTTTATTATATAATTAACGAGCAGTTTTAATAATTTATTTATTGTAGAACATGACGAGTAAGGGTTTACGATGAAAAGCATGGTGTAATTAATTCAGTATTATTAGCCGGTCCGGCGAGAAAACGCGACGTTAACTCGCGGCTTCACGATTCTTGCGCCGATTATCTCCATCCGGCGGATTCACCGAGGTGTTTCGACTTAAACGCAGACTCGAACGAGCTTCGAGCTTAACTTGGTTGTTGTGAATAAGTAAGCGAAGTGTTGCGAAGTGCTGCAGAAGTTTCGTTGAGACCCCCCAGGCACACGGCCGGGTTGGCTCGAATTAAATTGTTATACGGATGAGCTGCCACGACGAATACTTCGCAGAAACCAGCGACTTTCCCGCCACCCTCGGGTGTGAATGTTTAATCACCGCCTCCCGTTATATCTAATAAAATAATATCACTGGCACGACTGAAACTTACACCGCTATTCGGAATAGACTTCCTCTTCGATTCTGGGAGGTGGGTTCGGTGATTAAAAATTTTGGGATCCGAGAGTTTCAGAATTAGGTATTCATGAATTCGGAACTTGGAAAATTGATAATGTCGAAATTTGAGAATTTGGAGAATAGAGAAGGTAGAAATTTAAGAACTTGGAGAATAGAGAATGTGGAAATTTAAGAACTTGAAAAATGAAGAGCTGAAGTGAAGAACGTAGCGATTTTGGAGATAGAATGATTAGAAAGTGGGGAGTGTAATTTGGGAAGTAGAGAAGTACAAATGTAGAAATCCAGAAATTAGAGAAGTGGAGAGTGTAAAAATTTGAAAACCCAGAAAATAGAAACCAGAAGAATTTAAAAATGTGTAAATTTCCAATATCCTACATCCCTTACGTCAATTCACAAGGGTGTCCTTACCTGTGATTACACTGTTGACAGGCGAAGCATTCCAAATGATAGACATTGGTCCTAGCCCTCATCACCATCTCGAATGCCGGTATGCTCTTATTGCACACAGCACAGTGTCCACTGCTCCCAAACATTCTACAATCAAGAAACACGTATTACGATGACAAGAAAACGCGTGAGTGTATAACAATATTTTCCAAACGATATTACTTTTCTCCCTGCCGGCACTTGGCGGGAATTACGTGATTGGAGAGACTCTGTCGATGGCATTACGGTCGGAGAAGAGACTTTTAGTTCGCGTACCACGAGAACCAATAAGCTTACGACCACCACGAATATGCCATCTTCAAATATTGGGCCATTAATAAAGGCCACGGAGCCACGATAGCGAGCGCTCTTTGCAGACGCGCCACCTGCGCGTGTTCCCTCGGGGACTTTGTAATCTCAACACGGTTTATTTGCCCTCGCCTGTTTATATGGGACGTCGGTGTATTCAATAAGGGAAACTCATCTGTAAAATTCGATTTGTTGCTTCCGTTCGCAAGCGAGCCCTGCCTCTACCCGTACGTGCGTTCAACTTCCCTTCTTCCTCTTTACCCTCTATTGACGTCCGCCGCAAGTGCATTATAATATACGTCCATTTATATGACTATGAAATTATTAATTTACGGTATTTACTATTCTTTTGTCACTCAAACTTATGACATTCAAGACTTGTGTAATTTTCTTTTGTTTTTTAATCATATAGAATTTAAGGATCATAGAATTTGAGGTATATAAAATGAAACATGATAGTAATGTATTAAAAACATTAATAGGACGGGTAAAAGACATAGAGGTTTAACTCTTGGAACTCGAAAGGTGACACATCCATTTGCTTTAAGATAACAATTTTGAATAAATATTTTATAACTGAATCTCGTGATATTTAACACGAATAATGGGGTAGTATTTTGTAAAGAAAATTCAGCTGTACAAGATAACGAATTTACCTTAGATAATCCTTCTTGCACAGTATAAAGTTGGACTTTGTGTACAGGGTCGAGCCAACATCCACTAGTTTGCAGTCGCAGCAGCTGCACTTCAGACAATCCTCGTGCCAGAGCATGTCCAGGGCCTTTAGAAGGTACCTTTAATTTGAAGATTAGAAAATTGTTACATAAAAATGACAGAAGTACATATAAACCTTGCAGAAGTACGTATAAATCTTCACCCACCAAAATGTACCTATAATTGATACTATCCTAATATCAGAACTACCAAAAATAAAAATTGTATATGAAATTCCTTGACAGAAAAGATGGGAAACTTGTAGATACTCGTAGGTTAACTATTTGTGGTAATTTTGTAAATATTTGTAAGTACCTTTCCGTGATAACTTTTCCACAGCCAGCACACTCCTGTTGAACAGTGCCGTTCTTGCTCGGTTCGCTTTTACTCACATCCATCGTCATTTTTCACCACCCTTTGGATGTCGCTGTTATATTTCCTGGAACCGAGCGAAATCATGCAATTTAATTGAACGCAAACGCAACGAGCAACGATACTGCGAATCGTTATTAACGACTATTATTATTATATTATAACGGCCAATTAATTTTGCCACGTTCCCGATTAATCGACGCGGTAAATCATCCGTGGCAAACGTTGCAGCAGCATTCGAATGAGTAATCGCGTTTGCGTGCTTTTAACAAGTTTCAACGGCATCTGGCACTAGAACGTCCGCTTGTCTATGAGCAATTAGAGCTACAGGTTCAGAATTTAACGGCGCGGTTAGTGCCATCTGTGTCCATCCACTGCGGGGGTGGATTTTCTCCACCCTCGAAACCGCTCGTCTCTTTCTCGCGATGCGGTCAGAGTTTAGAATCGAATTAGTTTGACCCTCTCCTCACTTATTGCGCGTGTTTAAACACCACCGGTTCTGAAACAACCGTCCTGGGTAACGGCTGTGCGGAGCTTTCCGATAAACATTAATTGTTTTCTCACGAAGACGTATGTAGGAGCCACCCTTGCTGCCCGTTTAAACGAAATTTCGGGGATTAACGTTCATTTAATCCACGGCCGTTTCTCTCCCATTTTATGGACGTCTCTTTTTTAGGGTGTTTATTCGATCTTGTAAAGTCAGATTATTTTGCAAAATAATTTTCTAAGTTATGTCTTTTTAACATGTAGGTCCACAAGTTCGATTTTAGCCACCCGGTATATTTACGAGTAACCGTGGATGCTATGAGCAAAGTTTACGCGGTTTCAATATGTCCTCTCCCCTTAGCCTGGACACAATATCACGGGGACGTTAATATCTTCTATGCGGTTGAGACTCCGAAGCAAATATTAATACCGTGCCTTTGACACGCTAATTATTAAAGACTAAAATATTAGAAACTCGTGCTCTCTGATTTTCCGCTAGATTATATTTTTGGCGATAGAAGTACAATCCCCACAGAATATACGATGCTCCTTCGGTTCGATTTGTACGTATCAGTTAATTAATTTGTGTTGAATCCATTTTGTAATCGTATACCGATACGCCGAATATGATATAAATAATGGTGCAGTTATTATGCGTAAGCTTATACTCGTACAAGTGTATCGATTAATGGAATAACTAACTGGCCAGGTAAATTATGCAAACTATTAAATTCGAATGCGCGCAAACTTTCCCACATAATAATCGAGCCAACGATCGAATGTCTCCACCCGATAAATTTATACCGGACGTTAATATATTTTATTGTTATTATGGGTTGATTAAAGCTATCGTTAATATGTCCATGTTGAAAGGTATTACCGTTAATAATGCACGCCTCGTATAATGTACAAAATTTTGTATTCCCCGTGCTTGGCCATGGTGTTCCCAACAAATTTTGTTACCTGGACGAATATGTCCTGCATTTCGAATTGTTTCCTTTGAGGCCCTATTCTATTATAACAAAAGTATTCTCGAGTTAGGCATAGCGGAATTCGACCACAGAAATTCCTGCGGAAACCAACCTGAATACCATTGGCAACCTCGAAAACCTCACCCTATGTGGTCGGTCAATTTCCACTTTGTTCCGCAATTTTTCCACGCGTTCTCTTTAAAACTCGAGTTAGGCAAAGGCACATCATTTTTTAGGTACTTTATGATAGAGTAACTTTACCTTTATTGAGCAAGTCTAGACTTGGGGACTTTGGGATTTGGGGATTTTGGGATTTGGGGATTTGGGGATTTTGGGATTTTGGGATTTGGAGATTTTGGGATTTGGGGATTTGGGGATTTGGAGATTTTGGGATTTGGGAATTTTGGGATTTGAGAATTTTGGGATTTGGGGACTTTGGAATTTGGGGACTTTGGGATTTGGGGACTTGGGATTTGGAATTTTGGAATTTGGGGACTTTGGGATTTGGGGACTTGGGATTTGGAATTTTGGGATTTGGGGATTTGGGATTTGGGGCTTGGGATTTGGGGACTTTGGGATTTGGGGACTTGGGATTTGGAATTTTGGAATTTGGGGACTTTGGGATTTGGGGACTTGGAATTTGGAATTTTGGAATTTGGAATTTTGGAATTTGGAATTTTGGGATTTGGGGATTTGGGATTTGGGGATTTGGGATTTGGGGACTTTGGAATTTGGGGACTTTGGAATTTGGGGACTTGGGACTTAGGGACTTGGGATTTGAGGATTTTGGGATTTGGGAACTTTGGGATTTGGGGACTTGGGATTTGGGGACTTTGGGATTTGGGATTTTAGAATTTGGAAGTTTGGAATTTAGGGTGTGGGATTTGGGGACTTTGGAATTTGGGATTTTAGGATTTGGAAGTTTGGAATTTAGAGTGTGGGATTTGGGAATTTGGGCATTTGAGGATTTGGGAATTTGGAATTCTGGGATTTGAAGAATTTAGAATTTGGGAACTTCATTCTGAAGTTTGATAGCCTTGACTATTTTGACTTGACTTGACTATTTGAGTACTATCTTGACTTGACTTGACTATTTGAGTACTATCTTGACTTGACTATTTGAGTATCTCGGTATTTTCACATACGGAACTCTACAGATGTGGAAATCTACAGATTCTGTATTCTAAGAATTTAGGGAAATTAGGGACAAAGGAATTTAGGAATCATAAGACTTGACAGCCTAGAAATTTAAAAGATTTGTAAACGTATAAAAAGATGATATTACATATATTTATTTAACAGAAACCTAAGTTACGAAATGTATAGTTAATGCTACAGCTCGAATAGAAAATACAACCGAGACTTGTGATCGAAAAGATGAAAGTTCCATGAGAATGCAATTACAAAGCCGGTCACGAAATGACAAACGGTCATGAATCGAAATGTTCAACGCATTATTTAATAAATTATAAATGTCTCTTAATAATTAGCAATTTAAATGCAGGCATATCAGGTACGACCGCGATCGTGATGCAACATTAACGTCGTTTATTCAGCAATATGTATCGCGTTTTCGCTATCTTTTCGTGCTTCGCGTGGCTTTAATTACTCGGTAGAAGTAACCAACGTCGAAAAGCCAACGGAGCACAGTGGAAACGGTTCGTTGGAACGTAACGCTGAAGGGTCCATAACGAGAGCTTTCCCTTCGAAAGCGGCTCGCATCGCTGGCGATCTGTTCATCAGGTACGTGATCAGATCATCCACGGACGCTGCTTCTCAAAGCGACGATAATTCGATTATCTCGTACATGTTCGACAACCGCCAACATGTCCTTCAATCGGTGAATCTTCTCGGTTAACCATCTTCCTAACTCTGATTCGATTGTTCCCGTGTAATCTCTGTTCGTTGCAGTTTTACGTTCCTCTGCTTATTGACCCATTATCGAGTTATCGACGTTGATACTCAATTATACAAACACTATTTGTAAATTCTTTTAAATTCAATCTCTTCTTATTCTTTTAAATTCAATCACATATCTCTCTATTCTTCCTTATTTAATTATATTTCGTGGGGTTGTTTATTAAGATGCGTAATGTGTATATCACTGGTGTACAGTGATGTGCTTAGTACGTAGGGTAACGTGGTTAGTACATACTGATACTGGGATAGTCACGATTACTGTCAAGGAGTTACTGTCGAGGGGTAGTTCGGACGTTGAATTTGCTGAGAGATACGTGTTAACTACTGTATGCTCATTCCTTCCTATTTGTTGACTATTAAAAATGAGAAACAACTGACAATGAGAAAAACAAACGAACGTTAACATTCCATATCGACTACCCCTTTGTTTCTCAATATACTTACAAAGCTTCGAAATGTACCTCCAGAAAGTAGAGGCATTCTATAACTAGTACCACAATAAAAATTGTATCTATCAGTACCATATACACAAGGTCCCCACCCGGTTCAGAGAGAGAAGACAAAGAAAACGATGGTTGCATTTCCTCGAAGCGAAAACCGAGGAAAGGAGGTCTTTCTATTTATCGACGTAACTGGGCAGTCTCGATGCAGTTCTCAAGGCTCCGCCCTCGTAGCATCCGCGACACTCCCAGAGCCACCACCCCCGGGATCTGTTCCGCGGAAAAACGAAATTTTCCACCCCTTCGCGCAACGCTCCAGACGATGCGTCGAAAACCATCGGACACTTCTCGAGCACCTTTCGACGATCTTTCGCCCTGGTTAGAAAAAATTCAGAGAGTTCTACATTTTAACAGCGGAACGCTTTTGTCTTTAATAATGCCGGCGCGGAAGCGTTATCTTTTACTTTTAGGACGATGAGAGAGTGTACGAGCATCCGGTGAGTCGGTCCATTAATTAGGCGGGCCACATTAAGCCGAGCATTAATATACTCCGCTGGCTGTTTTGTTTTATCCCGCAGGAAGGACGTAACCTCCCTCGGAGGTTAAAGGGGGTGGCCAGCAAAGGCAAGAGGGGGAATTATTTCGACGGCGGCAGCCTGCTAATCCGACTTGCTACCTACCACCTTATCCCCGGAGACTGTTTAAATTCTGTAAATCGTCCTGAATATTTACCCCCGTCCTCCGACTCACCGGATACTCCGACTTCAGCGAGTTTCCGGAAAATTATAGAAGTCGCCTTGACAAACAAGCTCTTATGTTTCTATTTGTGCCGGAGGCTTCTCCTCATAACATTCAATTCATTCGACATTTTCAACCTTATATGGCAAAGTGATATTCATTAATTCATGTTAGATTGATAGTTAATCGTACATAAGTAGATTTTTATTTTTGTTTCTTTCCAGACTACTATACCCAAATTCTTATATCCTCATGTACACTCCCTATATTAAATCTTTAAATCTTATCCTACCAAGATCACAATATCCTCAGATCCTCACAACTCTAAATTTCTATGCCGTCAGATTTTGATATCGTACTCTCACACCCCCAACTCTACATCTTTACATCTCTTACCCTCCAACTCCCTAAATCTCCAAATCCACATACCAAGATCGCTACATCTTTGAAATTCCTTGTATCCTTAGATGTTCACATACTTTTTTTTAACCTTCAGACCTATGAATTCTTGT